CCTCCCAAGTAGCTGGGACTACAGGTGCCCGCCACAACACCCGGCTATTTTTTTGTTGTTGTCATTGTTTAGTAGGCCTGAGCAGGGTTCAAACCCACCAGTCTCGGTGCATGTGGCCGGCACCCTAACCACTGAGTTACAGGCACTGAGCCATTCTACTCTTTCTCTAAGTTCAGGTGGTTTAGATTCCACATAAAAGTGAGATCACGTGGCATCTGTCTTTCTGTGCCTGCTTTATTTCACTTAGCATAATGTCCTTCATTGTTTACCCAGGTTGTCACAGATGACAGAATCTCCTTTTAAATGCTGTATAGTATTCCATGTGTGTGCGCACCACATTTTCTCTCAATGGACATTCAGGCTGCTTCCCCCTCTTGATTGCTGTGAATAATGCTGCAATGAACACAAGGCCCTTTCTTCAGTCTTTGAGTGGGCCTGGCCCAGCAAAGGTGAAGGCAGAAGTTGGGCTGCTTAGGGACAGGTCCTCAGCCCCTGGACAGCTCAGGGATGACCAGGACGGACTGGTAGGTACTAGGTGCCAGCAGCTGTAGAGTGAACTCAGTGATGACAGCTGTGAGCCCCCACACCCGGTGTGGTCCATGCAGGAAGACAGGAAGTGTGTAGCTGAAGTGGCCACCTCGGCAGAAGTGGGTATAGCCCTGATTCTGAGTCTGCAGCAGGTGGGCCAGGGGCAGCACAAATACCTCATCCACCTGCAGGCAAGAGGCAGAGAGAGAGTGGCCAAAGGACTACCTGCTGTAGCCTGCCCCCATTGGGACAGTCTGATTCTGGTTCCCCAGTGTCCTCCCACTTACCTCCTTAGGGTTGGGCCTGAGGCTCTGGAGATCTAGGGAGCCTACACCAGCAAGCACTGGAACCACGGTGGCTCTTTGCTGGGGATGGGGACAGGTAGTCAGGGAGGCGTGGAATCCTTCCCTTTACTACTCTAAAATCTCCCACTTGTCATTCAAGCCCCATCTCAATCCCTGCCTGCCCCACAAAGCCTTCCCCACCCTCATCCATCAAGCTGAGTAAAGCTGGCTCACCCCTTCACCCTGGGTCACAGCCATCTCAGGACCACAGCCTCCTCTGTCCCTACCCCCAGTGGGTGTGTGCAGATGGCACAAGTGTCTGCCAGGCAGGCGGGTTCCCAACACTCCTCTGCACTTTTTGTCTGTGGGAGTCCATGACCCCTCTCCTTGTCCCTGGGGTCACTTAGCCCAGGTGAGCAGAGTGAGTGAATGGGGTAGGGTGGCCTTAGGGTCAGATGGCTCACCCGGTCGTACACAGGTCGCAGCAGGCCCCACACCTGCTCCTCAGACACTGCCAGGCCCAGCTCCTCCCTGGTCTCCCGCAGGGCTGTGTGCACCACGTCCTGATCAGCTGGGTCGCACTTGCCGCCTGGGAAACTGAACGGGCACAGGGAATCTGGTATTTGTGCTCGGGAGCCATAGAGGGGTGGGAGTGTTAGCAGTGGCAGCGGCCAGTGACCCACCTAAGCATTGCCTGCTTCTGCCCCTAGTTTGCCATGAGGCTATCATGATCCCTGGAGGCCAATTTACCTCCCTGAGTGAAGGGGGTAAGGGAGAGAGGCCCTGTGCAGCGCAGCACATGAGGTTCAGGCAGCAGGAGCAGGAAGACTCTGGTGCTCTGACACCCAAATTCTGCCGATAGTGGCTCCAAGAGCGCTGATACTGACCCTAAGGTGTCCTCAATTCCCGCTGAGGGGTGGGGCCAGAGCGGGAGGTCACAGCCCCGCCTCACTCCCGCCAGCAGGGGGCCTTCTTAGAGAGGGTGACACAACTCTGAGAGAAGTCCCAGCCCGAGTTGGTGTTCGCAGGACGCGCTTCGAGGGACCTAAAGGGACATGGAGCTGACTCCTCGCCATAGCCCGTGGGTGGACAGGGTCTCCCCAGACCTATTTTGCAGAGGCGGAAACCGAGGCTCGGAGAAGCCAGGCACCTCGCCCAAGGTCCCTGCTGTCTCCGGGGTTCAGCGTCCTCCCGTTGAAGGGCAAGGAGTTCCTGGCCGGTGTACCTGACGTCCCCCTTGTGCCTCCCGGCCAAGCGGCTGGACCGCAGCGTGTAGAGCAGCGCCGGGACCCCGCGCACTAAGCAGAGCGGCACTAGCACCGCGGCCGACGCGGGCCGCGCACGAAGACGGGCTGAGGCCCCCGCCAGCAACCGCCGGCAGCGCCGCTCGCCCTCCACCGATAGGCAGTCGGGCAGCATGTCCGGCTGAGAGCAGCCTGGACACTGAGGACGCCGGGCCGGACGCGGGGAAGGGCAGGACAGCCGGCTCTCCCGCAGGGCCCTCCGGAACCTGGGCGGGCTGGGGGAGGAGCCTTTCCGGAAGCCCCGCCCCATAGGCGGGGTGTTCTAGAGGCCGGTGTTCTGGGCGGGGCTGCGTGGAGCCAGAACCAGACGTTACCGCAAGATGGCAGCAAGGGGGCACCTTGGAGGCAATCGAGGAGGCAGGGGACTGAGCTTTAGTTCCAAGCGACGGCGGAGGGGCGCGGCCCGAGGGCGTGGCCGGAAGGGGCGTGAGCCTGGCAGGCTAGGTTTCCGGCAGGGGCGGAGTAGGGGCGCGTGCTTCTCTGTTTTCTCCTGTTTCAGGCTCCGTCGCACCAACTCTAGCCCTAGGCCTTTGCTCTCCTTTTCCCGCAGTCCGGGGCTTTTCTTTCCTCCTGCCTTAAATCTTGAGCAGATTCCCAAGTCCCTCCTTCCATCCCCACGTTGCCCCCCGTGGTCACGCCTAACGTGGTTCCTCACTCCTCCATGGATCCTGACGATCCAGGACCAGATGACCCCTACCCTTGCATGCAACACTCAAACATGGCAGCTTTGCTCTGTGATTTTAAGCAGGTCCTATATACAGCAGTTTTGGTCAACACAAAGCAAGGAGCAGGACTCCAGTGTCCTACCCAGGTTAAATGCAGCAATTGCCACTCCTCTGGTGTCACCACATTTACCATGATCGTATGCGCACAGGGACGTGGACGGCACCAGATAGAGCTTTGAGATGCCTGCAGGGCTTATGTGGGGACTGGAGTTCATGAGGGCCTTCACCCTGACCCCCTGAGGACAGAAATGCTCTGACCACTCATGCTGAATGGTTTAATGTTGAGGAGGAAAAAATTGGGTTTAGGGGCAGTCACCCCACACTCATGGTTGCTGGGATTGGGATGTAGGAGGTCTGGTTCTAAGCCTAGCACGGCCAGAGCTTGCTGTGACTCTGAGTAGGTGCCTCTCTCTGGGCTTCCACCTACTCTCTATTCCTTGGGACAGGAAAGTTGGGGGGGGGCGGGGTGTGACTCTGCAGAGGTGGAGCTGGACGAGGTGGGGCAGGGGCTGATTCACACACCAGGTATGAGGTCCCGAGTAGAATGGCTTCTACAGGGCTTCCACAATTACTGAGAGTCCTGGCCATGTCTTAGGCACACAGTGGTGGGGGATCCCAGCCCAGCGGGGAAAGGCAGGCCTCCTTCATCCCTGTTAGCCTGGATGCTGGGGAGAGGGTATGGTACCGGGCGGGCCCTTGGGATGCCCAGATGTCTTGGGGCTCCAGGGTACAGACCCTGGTAGGTGAGGGACCTGTAGGTGGCAGTGGCCAGCAGAGCCTCAGTTGGGGGCAGCAGGTGATGGTGGAGCTGGGGAGGGGTCCTGGAGGTAGAAGCTGAAGCCCTGTTGAGGCCTGAGGAGGAAAATGCTGTGAGTAGATCCCAGGGCTCCCCTCACATCCTCAGCCCTCATCTTAGGCCAGCCCTGTCCCTTTCTCTGCCCTTCTTATCCCAAGTTGCCTACCTCCCAGCCTTTGCCCTTGCTTTCTCTCTGCCTGGAATTTCTTCCCCACATTCTCCCTTGGTCCAAGCCCTTCCTAGTCACCCAAGGCCCAGCTAGGGAGTCACCACCTCCAGGAAACCCTCCTGATACCTCCTACCTCTGTTCTCAGCACCTGTCCCTACCCTGTTCTCTCTGCCCTGGGCTCTATGTTGTCTTAGTAATCTCTGCCTCCCCCTCGGCATCTGGGGGCTTGCTGAGCTCATGGAAACCCCTTCCTAGATGTTCTGTGGCATTGTCCCCTTGCTTTCTGCCCACAGTGCTGGACTGAGGTCTTACCTTTCTCCCTCTCTGTGGCACTCTTTAAGAGACAAGGACTAAGGCTGCTGCGACTCCGAGCTGGGACACCAAGCAGGGGGCGTGGGGTCACAGGCCTGCAAAGGGACCAAACAGGAATGGGGAGAAGGCCAAGAGGAGGAGGTCAGGCCAGGGATCACAGGCAGACCCTGATGGTGGGGCCAGCACAAGTCAGAGGGATGACCCTGACCCTTAGGTCAGGAGCTAAGGCCTCAAGAGATGCCTGGGGGTGGGGGCAAGGCGGGGCCACTGGGTAAAACATCAGAGACCAAACAGTACCAGGAGTCCAGGTCATTCTCTCTAAAGCCCTTGGCAAAAGGGTTGCTGGCGATTTTCAGCTGGGTGATCTACAGAGGAGAAAGTGCAATTGTGAGTTGGCTCTGAGCCAGACTCAGTCACTCGGCCCCCTGGGACCCTTCAGTCAGGAGACCCTGGGACCCAGGCTCTTTGCCCAGGAACTCTAGAGCCTGTGGCTGGGCAGGCAGGGGAAGGACTGTGGGCAGATGCCCGTGGAGAGAGGAGAGGCCTTGTGGCTCAGTCTGCACCCTCATGAAGTGGGCTGGCAGCTGGTGTATCACGAGCCAGGGCTGACCTACCCTGTGGTTCTGATATGCTGTCACTGCTGTGAACTGGGTCTCTGTGAAGATGAAGGACTTGAAGTTCTCCTGGGCATAGCGTTCACTGTCCTTGCGAGGATCCACGAAGACCACATGGAAACGGGGCTGGTAGCGGTGCATGGAGTTGAGAATGATCTGCAGGAGGGCATGGGGCAGCTGTGCAGGGCAGGGGTGCTGCAGGCTCTCTAGGGCTGCAGCCCTTCGCTCCAGGCAGAAACGACCCTGGGCCTGCCACCCTCTTCCTTCAATGTCAGGGTAGGACCTGAACTTGAGTGCCTACGGTTCTGTGTCAAAAGGCCCCTTTGTGTTTTAACATCTGTGCAACTTTGCTTTCTCTCACACCCCACACCCACTGTCAGCTTTACCTCCAAAACTATTCAGAATCTGACTACCTCTGCTACTCTGCTGCCTCCATGCTGGCCAGCCCCTGTCCTCTGTCACTTGATTTCCTTGGTTGCCTCCTGGCTGACCTCCCTGCCTCCACTTTGCCCCTCTGTGCCTGCTCAACACAGCTTCCCTGGCAAGCCACATCAATTGCACCTACTTCAGACTTCCTGTAGCTCCCACCCAGCATGGTAAAAGCCAGAGTCAATCACCTTGGCCACTGGAGCTGAACAATCAGCCCAGCCACCTCTAGGCTCTCTCCCCACCACCCCACATCCCCTCCTCGATCCATATCAACCACATAGAAGGCTCCTGGCAACTCCCCCCACTGACCCAACATTCCCTGGCCTTGGGCCTTTGCACTTGCTGTTCACTCTGGCTGGAACACTCTTCCCTGATATGCTTAGGCTCCTCTATCCTTCAGATCCATTCAAATGTCACTCATCAACTTCCTGAGCTCCCCAAAAGGAACAGCCCCCCGTCCCCGTTTCTGTCATCTTCCCTGCCTCTTTTTCTCTTTGGCAATTGCCACTGTTTGAGACCCAGTATACAGTGTCTTCTGGATTCTTGGCTTAGCATCTGCCCTGCCCCAGGACGTGAGCCCTGGGAGGGCAGGGATCTTTGTCTGACCAAGTGTCTACAGTGCTATGTTCTGGCACCTACAATGGCCCCGTGCTGGGCATTCCATATAGTGTCTCCCTCTCCCAGGGGAGGACAATATCTGCCAGAACATCCCTCACTCCCACCCACTTTCCCACCTGCCTGGACAGCCCTCTTTGCCATCCAGCCCCAGCCTTGGCTATCAGCACCAGACAGAGATGCCAACACCAAGGCCACTGGGCACTGCAGGTCTAGCCCCAGCTCCAGGCTTCATCACAATATGGCCCAGCCTCCCCAACCTGGCCCGGCCCCTCCCCACTGCAGCCCGAGCCTCACGTGGCCATTGTCATCCAGCAGGTTGTTGGTCAACTTGAGCTTATCGAAGGACACGATCTGGCGCATCCACTGTGCACCCTTGGCTGGTGAGTCAGGGTGGAAGTGCACGCGGCCAGGCGTGGCCGGGTCCGCCTTGCCTGCCACCAGCCAGGCCGAGCTGTGGAAAGCGTACCTGGGGGGCAGAGCAAGGTGGTGAAGGCCACTGTTCTGGGGCCAAGCCTGGGCAGGACAGGTGGGATGAAGAGGCCACCACTGACCACCACGGCCCCCCAGCCTGGTGGACATCTTGCAGATGAGGAACTTGAGGCTCAGAGAATACCAGCAAGCTCTGAGTTCCCTACAGCTATACCAGGCTGGTGGGTGTCAGGATTCCCCTGCTTCCCTGGGCTAGACCACTTGGCCCACCCAGGCCAGCCCACTGCCCATGTAAGGCTGTTGCACCAGGCTCCCTCCTGACCCTGGGGGCTGTTGACCCAGGCTGAACCTCCCTGGCTCACCCTGTAGTGCAGTAGGGCCTAATCCCTGGGTCTAGCACCCGAGAGCTGAGCCTGATCCTCCAGCCAGCCCCGACCTGTATCTCTTGTCGTCCAATGGGATGAAGTCCATGAGCAGAGCGTAGTCAGCCAATGTGTCCATGCCCAGGATCTTCACCTGGAAGGTGGGGAACATCCTCCTGTGGGGGGCAGGTACTCAGTGGCCTGGACAAGGGTGCAGCCCTGGCCCCTTCCATGCCCCCACTGCCCACACCTGCCCGCCTTGGTGACAATCATCTCCGTGCCCAGCTGGTTGAATTCCTCCCAGAGAGGCCTCATCTCCAGCTGAACTGTCACATTGGACACACGCGGGTTCTTGGAGCCCTGCCCACTAGGCCCAGTCACAGTGTGGGTCCCAGTGGAGCTGGTACAAGGTCCTGATGGGAACGGCGTCCCCACTGGGGGCTCCCAGCTGGAGCTGGCCATGGGCAGAGTGCAGGTCTCTGAAGGTACAAGTACACCAAGGCTGGCAGACAGGAAGCCTGGGGAGAGAGGACAAAAGCATGGGCCCCTGACTGCCTCGACCTTCACCACTCATCTAGCCAGCTCTCATCCTTCAGGCTGCCCTACATGCCTCCTTCTCCAAGAAGCCCTCCCTGACTGCCATCTGTGTTTCCTGGTACTCTACCCCTCAGCGTCACTCCACGAGGCAGATGCTCATTTAAAGTCTTTTTCCGAGCAAGTTCTTAAGGGTGATGACAGGGCTTGTTTTGCTCCCCAGAGAATTTTTGAGCCATCCTGTGGCTATGTGGCCTTGAGGAAATTGTTTCACCTCCTGGAGCCTCAGTTTCTACAACTGTCTTGAGGGGTTCCTAATACCTGCCACACAGGGCCTAGAGGAGGGTCAGTGATGACACACACAGGGCCAGGTGTGCAGTGGGCCCTTCATAAACGGCACTTGTTCTAGATGGCATGCATGTGAGGGGGGGGGCCTTTTTTAGCTCTGTGGAGACCCCACTGCCTGGTATTACTTAACTAACAGCTGCATAACAATGGAGGGGTCAAAGGTTGAGAAAACAGTCACTGACAACCCCCCCCTCCCTTGGTATATAACTCTTAAGTAGAGCTGAGCTGAGAGGAGCCCTCCTCTGTCAACCACAAATTGTCCATCCCTGATACTTTTTTTTTTGAGACAGAGCCTCCCCTTGGGTAGAGTGTTGTGGCATCACAGCTCACAGCAACCTCCAACTCCTGGGCTCAAGTGAGTCTCCTGCCTCAGCCTCCCAAGTAGCTGAGACCACAGGTGCCCGCCACAACGCCCGGCTATTTTTTGGTTGCAGCCGTCATTGTTGTTTGGCGGGTCCGGGCTGGGGATTCGAACCCGCCACCTTAGGTGTATGTGGCTGGCGCCTTAGCCGGTTGAGCCACAGGTGCTGAGCCTCTTTTCTTCCTTCCTTCCTTCCTTTCTTTCTTTCTTTTTTTTTAGACAGAGTCTCAAGCTGTCGCCCCAGGTAGAGTGCCATGGCATCACAGCTCAAGCAGCCTTAAACTCCTGCGCCCAAGTAATTCTCTTGCCTCAGCCTTCCAGGGAGCTGGGACCATAGGCACCCACCACAGCACCCAGCTATTTTTGGCCCAGGTTGGATTCGAACCTTCCAGCTTTAGTGTATGTGGCTGGCACCCTTGCCACCTGAGCTACATGTGCCAAGCCTCTCTTTGCTCTTTTCTAAAGATCCTGTCTTTGGATCCTGGTACAAGCTTTGGCCACAACCTTTACCACCCTCTATCCTCTGGTTTAAGAAAAAAAAAAATCCTGGGTTGTGCCTGTGGCTCAGTGGGTAGGATGTTAGCCCCATATGCCAAGGGTGGTGAGTTCAAACCTAGCCCCCGCCGAACTGCAACAACAACAAAAAAAATTTTTTTAAATAAAGTTAAAAAAAAAAATCCTAACCATGATAAGACACCGTTTTCCACCGGTTAAGGTGGCTATCAAAAAGAAACTGGAACGCAACATGTGCTGGTGAGGATGTGGAGAAATTGGGGCCCTGTGCATTGCTGGTGGGAGTGTGGATGATGGCAGCTGCCATGGAAGATGGCATGGTCATTCCTCGTGAAATGTAAAAGAAAAAATACTGAATGACTCAGAAACCTCACTTCTGAAAGTAGGAGCCTAAAGTGATATTTACACATCTATGTTCACAGCAGCATTATTTGCAATAACCAAAAGGTGGAAGCAACCCAAGTGTCTGTCTAAGGACGATGGATAAACAAAATGTGCTAGCCGGGAGTGGGAGGCCGAGGCGTAAGGATCCCTTGAGCTCAGGAGTCGTAGACCAGCCTGAGCAAGAGCGAGACTCTGTCCTTACTAAAAATACAAACACTAGCTGGACATTGTGATGGGTGCCTGTAGTCCCAGCTATTCAGGACACTGAGGCAAGGTTACTTGAACCCAAGTTCAAACCCAAGTTACAGTGAGTCACTGTTATGACACCACGGCACTCTCCCAACAGTGACAGAGTGAGACCCTGTCTGAAAAAAATCAAAGTGCTGTACACAGACAAGGGAACATTCTGACACAGGCTGCAACGTGGATGGATTTGAGGACACTATGCTCAGTGAAAGAGCCAGACACAAGGACAAATAGTGTGTGTTCCTGCAAGTTCAGAGAAACAAAGCTGAATGGCGATCACCCAGGGCTGGAGAAGAGGAAATGGAGAGTTTGTTTAATGGGGACAGAGTTTCAGTTTTGCAAGAAGCAAAAAGTTCTAGAGATGGATGGTGGTGAGGGTTGCACCTATGTGAAAGAAGTTAATGCCACTTAAGTGTTACTCACTTAAAAATGGTAAGGTGGTAAATTTTATGTTATATATATCTTACCACAATTAAATATTTTTTAATGAGGGGAGTGGGCGAATGGGGGAGTGGATAGAAGGGAGGAGGGAGGGGGATGGTGGTCATAATGTGTGACACACCTCTTGTGGGTAGGACACAATTATAAGAGGGCCATACTGGCTAAGTGCCCCTAGCACAGTGGTTATGGCTCCAGCCACATACACCAAAGGTGGCGGGTTCAAACTCAGCCCGGGGCCAGCTAAACGACAATGACAATTGCAACAAAAAATAGCAGGGCATTGTGGCAGGCGCCTATAGTCCCAGCTACTTGGGAGGCTGAGGCAAGAGAATCACTTAAGCCCAAGAGTTTGAGGTTGCTGTGAGCTGTGACGCCACTGCTCTCTACCGAGGGTGACATAGTGAGACTCTAGGGACTTTACCTAACAAATGCAACCAGTGTAGCCTGGTTCTTTGTATGCTTAAGGAATCCCCAACAATAAAAAAAATTCTGAAAAATAGCACTATCATTTTATAGCAGCCCCGTAAGGGGTAGAAGACCTGGTGAGGCCATGGAAGCCACAGTGGCCAAGAGTCAGGGGACAAGGTCTCCTTCCCAGCAGTGCCCCTAGCTGAGCAGCCTGGAGGGAGGGGTGTTTTCACAACTGCAGAACTGTGAGATCCCCTGAACAGAGGGGTAGAGGTGTTGGAGAGATGGGTAGACCAACAGACAGATTGGTGCAGGGACATCCTCGGGAAGCTGGACCACCTAATGAGCTCCAGGTGGACAGTGCCTGGCCAGAGCTGGCCTTAATAAGTGCCTGGTCTGCTGGGCATGGTGGCTTACGCCTATAATCCCAGCACTTGGGAGGCTGAGGCAGATGGATTACCTGAGCTCATGAGTTAAAGACCAATCTGAGAAAGAGTGAGACCCCATCTCTAAAAAGAAAATAGCCAGGCGCTGTGGCAGGCACCTGTAGTCCCAGGTACCTGGTAGGCTGAGGCAAGAGAATCACTTGAACCCAAGAGTTTGAGGTTACTATGAGCTAAGATCCCACGGCACTCTACCGAGGGTGACAAAATGAGGCTCTGTCTCCAAAAAATAAAAAAAAAAAAAAAAACAAGTGCCTGGTGAGAGGGAGGGCCCAGGGCCCAGGCCATGAGACCCCTGTGTGAGAAGTGTGGCACCTTCCCCTGGGTCTCTGCAGTCCGGGGGGGGGGTCTGTCTGAGAGGGCTGGACCACATCAGGACTGAGCACTTAGTGGCAGGACAGATGCAAGGGCTGATGACCCCCACCACTGGGGGCCAGGCCATCAGAGGGTGCAACTGCTTGTCACTTGGCTGTCCCACTGGAGCCAGTATGATGTCGTCCAGCGGCTGATGCCAGCCCCCAAGGTCCATGGTGATAGGTCCCAAGGGCAGGGACTTGTGGCTTCAATGGGCCTCAGGGCTTGGTAGGTGGTCACTGGCTCCCAAGTCTTCTATGGCCCACCCCTGTCCAACCCAAAGTGCCACCCTTCAGTGCTTTCAGGGACTTTGGGGAGGGGTCTGTCCTCCGCTCCGTCCCTCCAAAAGCCAGCACACCCCAGGGGCCAGAGATGACAATTCCCCAGAGGCTAGAATGTCAAATCTGGAAGAGGCTTCTAAGTCAAGCCCCCCACTCTGACATTCAAGGGGCCGAGGCATAGGGTCACACACCCCTGACAGCCCTCATCTCCCAGGAATGGCTTGGTCTCCTTGTCCCTTGGCACCCCCATAATCACATTTGGGCAGCTATGAGTCCATCAGTCCTGCCCTGGCATGATCTAAGGCCTCAGCCTGGGGCATCTCTGCCCCACCCTACTGACCAGGGCCTGGGACCAGGGGGGCTTCCTCAGTTCCCACCCTGCCCACCCACCCTGAGGCCTGAGCCCACAGAAATGGCCACCCTAAGTTGCCCGCAGCATACCTGCCATGGGGACAGACAGGATGTCCAGCTCCTGGAGAAATACGGTTCAGCTGGGGCTAGGCTGTGGCTGCCACCCCGGGGAACCCCACCTGCCAGGAGGGGTTGTCTCCTCTCCGGGTCTCCTGGTCCGCTCAGCACCACAAGTCAGCCCTGAGACCTTATGCCGTCCCCAGGCTCTTAACAGGACTGTTCTTGCCTCCTTGATCACCCTCCATCCACATCCCCAGGTCGTGGTTTTCCCACATAAGCAGGACACCTGGTCTCTGTAGGTGGATGCTGGCCCTGGGGTCTGCGGGTACCCTTCTCTAAGCCACTCTCAGACTGTGCTGTCTGAGGCCACCTCCTGGACTAGACCAGCTCCAGGGGCGGGTGCTGCACGGGAGGAGGGCAGGTCTCCTCCCTCTTCACCCTCCCTCTGCATGTCCCTCCCTCCCCAGCTTAGAGCCCCAGGCCATTCCTAATAGATCAATGGGCCCAGGCAGGGGGTGGGGAGAGTGTGGGAGAGTGTCGGATAGGGGGTGGAGTGTCCAGAGGGGCCCCCAGCCTGGCTGACTGGAGGGCCTGGGCCCATGGGGCCTTGGGGAGGTTGGGAGGCAGCAGATCCAGGGCTGAATGGCAGAGGCAGTGCCCTCTCACGAGGACTTGGACCCCTGACCCAGGCAGCTGGGGAGGGGACAGCTAGTGAGGAGCTGGGAACATGAGGGGCCAGCAGCAAGTGCTGCCTTCAGTGCAGAGCCCCCTGACTGGGCAGCAAAAGCCCAGGTCCTCCCAACAGCTCATCCATGAGCTCTGCAATGACACCAGCAGGTCCCTACAGTCTCTGTGCCTCAGTTTCCACTGGCCTAAGTGCATAATCTCTTCTGCCTGGAATGGTCTAGCACAGCCCAGGCTGGGAGCAGTGCATGGCACAAGCCCTGTCCGGCTGTGGGTGGAAACTCTGAGGCTGGCCCAGGTCAGAGGTGGGTGTCCACTCTGCCTGTGGTCTTTCCCGTCTCTCTAGCCTGACTGAGCACCTTCTGCAGGCTGCCCCAGCCTGTCCTGGGGCTAGGCACATGAGTGACCCCTTGATCCCTGGTCGAGAAGGCAGAAGGGTAGAGCATCCCTTCAGCTGCTGCCACCGCTTGGCTAAGAGCGCCTTTGGCCATCTGACCCTTGCCAAAGGGGCCATCTGGCTGGACCACCACAGGCCAGCCCCATCTGGGAAGGAGCACTCTGTTTATTTTCCAGACCAGAGCCCCTAGCCTGGGCCAGGTATCTCCCAAGCCAGTAAGACTACCCCCACCTTTTCCAGAGCCCTGTGCTGGGGTCGTTGAGTGGGAGAGGCTACTTCTGAGTGTGGCCCTTGGGTCCTTGTGCTGGGGCAGACCTTGTCCCTGCAGCCTTGGGTTGTCTGTGGCTCAGTCTCCTATGTTCCAGGCTGCAGCCTGCAGAGCTGGCTAGGATCCCATGGGGAGAGGGTGGGCTGGCCCCAGGCCCATAGGAAGGAAGGCCAACACCCAGCACGGACCCATGCCCAGCTATGTGGGGAAAGGCTTCTGTCAGCTCTGGGGGTTGCTGTCAGGCAAGATGGGGATACTCTGCATGAGATGGAGGGGCCTCACATCTCCTAGAATCACCCAAGGAGATATGGCCATGCCACCACTGTCCCAGGACTCACAGTGTGGTAGGTGGGAAATGGGGGGCGGGATGGTGGAGGGGCTGGGAATCTGACCAGTATTGGTGGCTCCCTGTTAGCGGAGACTCCCAGCAGCAGGCCAGCCTGGAGTTCTGTTGGCTCCTGACATGTGTGTGCACACCTTTGATTTGCGTCATGGGAAACAGACACACATGCACATGAGCACACTGACCCAGGCTAAGCCACGTGTACTCACATGCACTCAGAAGCCTACAGACCCACCACCACGCTGGTGCACACATGTGCATGCTCCTGTGTACACAGACTTAACCACACAGACACAACGTGCACACACAGCCTTGCATGCCCCTCCTGCCAGAAGCTCCTCCCGGCCCCTGCCCACTCATCCATCTTGCCTGCCAGCCTGTCCCTGGTGCCCCCATATCCTTCACACCTTCTCATCTCACTGCTCAATACCAGGAGGCGGTGTGGCAGCCGTGGCCGCAGGGAGATGGATGGGCCAGGCAGGGGTTGTCAGGGTACAGGGAGTGATGCTTCCAGAGGACAGAGCTCTGGGCTCCAGCATCCCCAGCTGTCCAGCCACAGTCTGTTGGGTTCGGGCAGGGGTTGGCGGTGTGATGCTGCAGCGGGGTCCAAGCTGCCCTGCCTACTCTGTCCTGCCTGCAAAGCGGCTGCATCAGGACTGAGGGAAAGCAGCAGACCCTGTGCTGGGCTCTCCCCTAATGCCAATGTGGGGTGTCCTGGGGATGGTGGAAGTGGTGGAAAGGAGCTTTAGCCTCCAGGTTAGACTTGTACTGCATCCCTGCTTCTCTGTAGCTGGTTAGATTGTCCTGGGTAGCGAGACCCTCATCCAGCCATAGGTCCTCCCCCAGCCCTGACTCCCCCTGAGCCACTGTGGATATGAGGCTCATTACACACCTGAAAATGTCTGTGCACCCACCCATACACAGATCACCTCAGAATACCCAAGATACTGAGGCTCTCAGAAACACATGTGTGTGTGTGGGGCTCTGTGTCTGTAGCTCAGTGAGTAGGGCACCAGCCACATACACCCAGGCTGGCAGGTTCAAGCCTGGCTCGGGCCTGCTACACAACAATGACAACTGCAACAACAACAAAAACAATAGCCAGGCATTGTGGTGGGCGCCTGTAGTCCCAGCTACTTGAGAGGTTGAGGCAAGAGAATTGTTTAAGCCCAAGAATTTGAGGTGTGAGCTGTGACGCCAGAGCACTCTACTGAGGGCGACATAGTGAGACGCAGCCCCAGCCAAAAACCGAAAAAAAGAAACACATGTGCATGGAAAAACACACACACACGCCCAAAGACCACATGGTACTGGCATGTGCCTCTGCTCTCCCCAGACTAACCTCAGCATTGCAGAGGGGTTGGGGTCCCCTCTGGGTTGTGGCCTCCTCTAAAAGCCCCTCTGCTGGCTCTAGGACAGCCCTCCAAGGCTGATGTTCTCCTGGGCATGGACTGACAACTGCTGGCAGAGACAGCCACCACCAGCACGTCTAAGGCTACACTGGCCAGACCTGCCTAGATCCTGTGGGGACACCTCTCCTCCATTCACTCCCCCACCTCCAGACAAGAGCCATATAGGACAGAGGACACAACCATGGACTATATTTTGTAGAACAGGAAACTGAGGCCTGGGGTTCAGAGGCCTGGGCAAAGAACATGGTGCACAGCAGGTGGCAAAAGGGGGCCTAAGCTCGGAACTGTGCCTCAGGAAGGCACAGAGCTGGAGTTCCAGAGGGCCTGGAGTACTTGTAGGTGGCAGAGCACCTGAACCCGGAGAAATTAGGCCCAGGGAAGAGGGGCGCTGTCCTCTCTGCCTCCCTCTCTCTGCCCTTCCCTTCCTGCCCTTTCCATTGTTCAGATGGAAAGGCTGAGGCTGGGCAAGTATGGATTGAGTCAGGGACCTGGGGTGCAGGCAGAGGTCAGCGCAGGCAGAGCGGGCACAGAGAATGTGAGCTTCTTAGTCTGGAAGAATGCAATTCCCTTTTCATAGTAGGCAGCCTCATTAATGAACACGGGGTACACGGTAGATTCTCCCTCATATAGTACATCCTCACCGCTGAACATCTGGAAGATGGGAGCACCAGGCTGCAGCAGCTCAAAGTCTTGGTCCTGGGAGGAGAGCCAAAGACCAAGGTTGCTGGGGGACAATTTCCACCCTGACCCCAGCTCAGGACTCAAGAGATACTCCTCAAGAGATACCCCTCACTTGGGGACTTTTCCACCTCGCTGTTCACTTCCTTGATCAATATGTTGGGGGAATCTAGTAAGATACCAACCTGCTCTGTGTTTAGAAATGGAGACACCAGTCACCTTGGAAAGATGTCTGTCACCATGGAAATGGAGCTTAATGTATGGGCATGGATATTAAAGCCTGGATTCAAATCTTTGCTAACATGTGACCTTGAGCAAGTCATCTCTCTGGTCCTCAGTTTTTTCTTTTGTAAAATGGAGATAATATCTCCTCATATCATTCTGATGCTTAAATTAAACAGGTTAGTTGTAATTAAAACAGTATCTGGCATACAGTATGATATATTAATACTACTTGATGAAATAAATCTTAAAATTATAGGAGAAAATATCCAAAAGGACTGTTATTACTTAACATCAGCAAGGTAAATGGGCTGGGCTTAAGGCCCTCTAGCCCTTAATACTGAAAGGATGGTGCTCCCTCTACCATAATGTCATTACAAGCATTACAAGTAAGATAACACTTCAAAACTTCAGGGAACAAAGGCCACCAGACTGTACAAGACTCTACTCAACAGCGACCTCGTGTGGCAACAAACAGAGCAGCAGCTAGTGGGCTGCCAGTTCTTCCCACCCATCCCCAACGTGCAGAAAACAGGATTGCCCAATCCTGGAACTTTCAGGAAGGGAAGGCCTGAAGAGAGAGAGATTGGACAACCTGCTAACAAGCATGAGGATGCTTGTGGAATCAATTGGAAAATAAGGAGAGAGTCCTGCATTTGCACCTTCAAGCAGGAAATTGGATCATGACTGCTCCACATCCCCTCTCTCCCTCCCTCCCTCTGCCTTCTGCAGCCAGGGGAAGCTTGCCCAGCTGTTGAGGAGCCCATTCATGCCCTCCACATGGGCTGTGAAGCTCACTCTGGCCCCAAGTGCTAGGCCTGGGTATGGGGGATTCAGGGAAGGCAGTAGGGGAAGAGCAAGGGTGAAGGGCAGAGGTGCTGGTGACCTTGGGCTTGGTTCCTCTGGGCCTCAGTTTTCCCTGACAGCCCCTAAGGCTGTGGCCCTGGAAATCCCACCGCACAAACACACATACACACACACACCTGCAGCCTAGGATGCACAGTGCCTGCCAGGTGCCCATCCTTTGTGCGTGGGAAGTCCACGGTGCCCACAATGCTATAGGCTTTCATCTCAAAGGCAGGAAAGGCTGTACCTGCATAGGAGGCTAAGTGTGGAGACTGGTCCCGCCATCCCGACAAGGAGCCAGACTGGGCTTTCAGGGCCACTCAGGGCTGGGTCCCAGCCCGTTTGTGAGCCTGGCTTCCTGACCCCTGAACCAGGGCCAGGCCCCTGCCCTCTGGACCTCAGTTTTGGCAATTCCCTTGGGTCTCACCCTGATTGAAGAGTTCGATGAAGTCCAGAACTGCAGCCACCAGGGCCCTCATCTGGGAGAAAAGGTCAGCCCTCAGGACGCCCTGAGGCTGGGGGCCCAGCTCCAGGCCTCGGGACCAGAGGTGAGGGGTAAGGCCAGGGCCCAGGTGAGCTGTGGGGCCTCAGACCTGGGGGCCTTGCTCAGAGAGCCCTGCCCTGGCCCCGCCCTTCCCAGCCTCTTGGCCCCTCCCTCTTCCCCCTCAGGCCACAACCCACTTATTCCGTTCTTGGTCACCGAGCTCAGGCTGAAGCGCTCTTCCCCAGGCCGCTGGTACAGGATGACCCGGCAGGGCAGCTCAGGGTTCTGCAGCTGAGGGTGGGAAGGCATTAGGGCCCCAAGCCTAATTGGAAGGGGAAACTGAGGTGGAGCAGGGTAGCATGGAGGAAACCCAGGACACCATCCACCCTGGCCCAATTTCCCTTTGTCCTCTGGCAGGGGAGCTGGAGTTCCAGAGGGCCTGGAGTACTTGTAGGTGGCAGAGCACCTGAACCCGGAGAAATTAGGCCCAGGGAAGAGGGGCGCTGTCCTCTCTGCCTCCCTCTCTCTGCCCTTCCCTTCCCTGCTTCCCTGTCTCTAACCCCTGGGGGCTGCGTGCTAGGGGGCTGGGGCCACCTGCAGGTGGTGGCACAGGTGCATGGCGAAGACATCTTGGTTGGTGTCGATGATGAGGCAGGTGCCCACGTTCGCTGTGGTATTGTGCAGATCCAGGACAAAGTCAAAGGCCTGGCTGGAGGCTTTGGGCCCCAGCAGCTGATTTAGCTCCCGGGCTCTTGTCACCTCGTATGGGTCATCCGGGCTGGCCTTAGCACTGCAGGGACAGGAATGGAGGATCCTGATACCCACAGTCTCAGTCTTCACTGATTAGCTGCCGGCAGGAGGCCCTACAGGAGACACTCAGAGCAGAGCTAGGGAAAGCCTTCTGGCTGTGCTCACTGCTGTTGGAGAGCCTCATTGGCTCCCAACTTCCCCATAAAGTTCAAGTCCCCAGCCCTCCCCCGACCCTCACCCACCTCTCCTGCTCTCACTCTAGCCACAGTCTGAGCACCATGCTGGTCTCACCTCTAGTGGACACTCTTTCTCACCTCTCTTCACCTGGCTAACTTTTACTCACCCTTTGGGGTTGGCTTCCTCCAGGAAGCCTTCCCCACTGCTTTTGGCCAGGTTTCATGCTTTGTGTAACCAACACACACACACATTTAGCCTCCTGGGTTGTAGTTGCTGGGTTCTTCCTGTCTCCCCATTAAGCTGAGGCCAACACCTCGGTCCTGTTCCCCATTCTGTCACCCAAACCAGCCAGAGCCTGACCTGGAGATGGAGCTCAGAGAATGGCCCTTGAAGGAAACCATGAACAGCTGGGGCACATGCAGGCAACAGCCTATAGGGCTAATCTGAAGGAAGCTCTGGGTCTGGGGAACCCAGGGAAGGGCTTTCTAGAGGAGATGACTGTGATCTGAGTTTCTGTAAACTTTCAGTTCCTGGGCAGTTCTGGGCTGCACCAGCATAGGGAGCACAAAAGCAAAGGTGGGGGAAGGGACCACCCTGCCTGGGGCTGGAGGGGAAGTTTCTGGTGTGGACTCAGTATTCTACTGCCTGGGCCAGCCTGGTGGCGTGGGGCACTCACGTGAGGAAGGTGCTGATAAAGGTGCGGTTGAGGTCGCAGCCCACATAGCGGCGGCAGGCAGCTATGGCCGCCAGGTTGGCCAGCACAGGCACGGCAGAGAAGCTGGGTCTCTGCAGCTCCCCAGGGGCCTGCAGCCAGTGCCTGACCAGGCAGATGCCGGACATCTCATTGCCATGAGTGCCCCCAGTCACAGCTACGCGGTGCAGGGGCTCGCGGGGCACAGGCCTCGAGCACATCCTGGTGTAGGGTGCGGCACCTGGGAGCTGGAATGGGCATGAACTCCCTAGGTATAGGAGACGCCAACATCTGAGCAAGATGATCTGCAGCTGAGGCGTGGACCTGGGGCCATTCCTCCACAGGAGTTCCTTGTGGGAGGAGCCCGTGCCCTCAGCAC